CGCGTCGGCGGAGAATATTCTACGGATCATTCTAAATAACTTTATTTAAGAGCCTAAGGGTCCAAAACCGGTTTCCAGACAGCGATTTTATAGGCGAAGTTTTTTAGGGGTCGCAAAAGTTTGTTCGTCAGGTTTTGAGCTACCCAAATGAGATTTAACACTTGAGTGCATTTTGATATYCTATTAATCAGGTCAGAACGAACATATCACATACATATCATACAACCAATTATTCAGATAATTTAAACTTTAGCAAAGTTGTTCAGAATAATCCAGAGAAAGAACATTTTCCTCAAAACTGTAAAATATATACCAATGTACCCGAAACTAAGTCTTCCGGGCYCTTAACACGTGTATATTTCGTATTTGGGTGTATTTATGCAAWCTGGCAACGCCAGATCATTATTAGCTACTCGCATAAAACATTTAACCGCATGTGAGAACACGACAAACCTCGCGCCCGCAGCGTTGAAACCACCGCGGCCAACGTAAACGCGTCCCCAACCGACGCTACAGCGTCCGCAAGGCAGTCGTAGAATCGCGCACACGATTGCTGTATGCAAAGYAAACGATCGAAAGTATACGCTGGCGTAGCTTACGAGCGCCGCCACAACAGCGACCTCGTGCAAAAATATCACACGAACAAACGGTACGAACACAACGAGCTACGATGCCGCCAAAAACAAAACTAAAGCGCTCGCTAGATTAGAGAACCCATCAACTGGTGGCGCACGAATCRCGTCGAGCYGCGAAACAGCAACTACAACAGCTCAGTCTTCAATGAGCGTTCGCTTTTTGTGTTACTCCAAACGGCTGTTGGTTGAGCACGACACGCACGCGACCGTTCGTCGAACACACCGAGCGCGCAAAGCTACTTGAGACGTAGCTCATACTTGGGCTTACTGCAAAAAAAAAAACCAAAAAACGCTATTAAATATTTATTACGATTTAAGTGCTTGCAACTAACTAATGGCCGCACGACGGCAACGCAACGGAAGTGAACGTTGAAGTTGAAGTGACGACGAGTGCAAGAACAGTGTGATGTACGGCAAAGGTGCGTATGCGAGTGAGATAAGGTGGGTGCAGCAAGTGAGGGCAGGGCATGAGAGCGTTAGAGTAGTAAGAGTGTGTGCGCGGCCGAGGAAGAGCTACTTGAAGCGCAGCGAGTTGTGCGACGACAGCGGAAATGCAATGAGCTACGGCGAGGCCAAAGCTTACAAGTGTATGTGTGCGTGTGTATGCGTGAGTGCGTATGTGTAAGTGCAGCAAGGTGGCAAGCAAACAGGCAGGTGCGTGCAAAAATGCTTGGAGAACGCGTGCAAGCGATAAATGCGATATACGAATAATACGAAAGCTCGGTTATTTACATAACGGTGTTTGTTTCATGTACAACAAAAAATAGTGCAACAACATTTATGTATTAACAAAAAAAAAAAAAAGAATATAAGTGCAAAAAAGGAGCAAAAATGAAAAGTGTTTATAATATTTTAAGAAGTGTTGAACATTCTCATTCATAATCATCTGTGTGTGTGTGTATGTATGCCAACGAACAGGCGTTCAAGTGCCACAGCGAAATTCACACGATTATCTACCCTTTTATTTACATACATATGTGTATAAATAATTAGCATAAACAGCGATATGATTTTCATTATTGTGTAACACATACATATATTCAAATATACCGTATGCATCATATAGCAACAACACACGTAGCTACCGTTTCGCTTACAACAGCTGACAACCAATCGTCACTATCGCCGTTGTTTTTTTTTTGTCGTTTTTCCACACGTATTTGTTGTAAAACAAGTGTTAAGCAAGCGCATACTTGACGCTCCGTACAACAAGTGCAATAACAGCGTTTATGGCAAGCACAAACAAAAAAAAAAAAAAAATGAAAACACACTTCTAACCATATTTGGCGGGCCGTGTGACTCTCAGTCAGCAAGCGGCTGGTGGCTCGCTTGCCTAACGACACTTGCACCAATTCACTTGATTGCTGTAGCGTCCGACCGACCGATTGGCTCGTCAACGTAACGACCTATGGACCGACCGATCGACTAGTCGACATAATGAACGATCGACTAATCCACTCGTCGACGTAACGACCGACCGACCGCCAATGCKACTGACTGTCTCACTGTCACATGCATGCGCACATTGATTTGCCAGTGAGTTCGTTTGTCGCCGATTGGCCGATTGCTGATAATACTGTCGTCGCCGTCGTGGAATACCGGCGACGCGTTGTGCGTCTCCATCGGTGGCTTTGACTGATCAAACAACTTGTTGGTTGGCGTTAGACTGGCATACGCTTTAATCAAAACTGGTGTGCATGCGTACGTGCGCAGAAACGCAAGCGGCATAACAGCCGCGCAGAAGTTATGCGCAAAGAAGAGGCAGAGAGGAAATGTTTAGCATGTACATATTCCTCTAAGCGGATTTCAGAGGGTCTAAGCTTTTTAAAAGTTGTATAAACCATCTAAAAAATAACTGTGTTCGAGCCAAAACTCGGGGTKACTTAAGTACTTTCGTGTWTTAYTGCTTTTAATTAAATTGGGCGGGAYAGGGATGATGAGTGCCTTATAGAGTTTAGTYTTTGTTTGTCGAGAGAGAACTGGCCCAGGAAAATMATCCAGTCCACCAGGGACTATCTACTGTCAAAAGAATGCTCGATGGGAAGAGAGACTGGTCGAATRAACAGGTGATYGCCGAAATTGAGCCCTATTTTGAAGCCATGGACAAATCGTACAGGGAAAATGATACCGAAAAGTTGGTGAATCGCCATAATCAGTGTATCTTCTCTGTAGGAAACTATGTTGAATAAAAAATGAATTTTGCAAAAAAAAAAATCTGTTTTACTATGTCAAGTCGGGAATTTTCAATTGATCTGTTAATTTTGAAATAAATTTTCGTCAAAAATGAGCCTTTCAACACTAACCAGCTTCCCGTCTTTCTACTTGCAGATAAAAATACAAACAAACGTTTTATTATGTGTTCAAGCTCTGAAGTGTGATGGCAATAGAAATTTGAATAATTCATAAAMACAACAACAACAACATGAACGCGTATGTTCATTAAAATGCAAAGCAAACTAATTTTGCCTATGCTAGTACAACAACAAGCAGTGGTCAAGATGAAAACATCAACAAAAATTACTTAACYAATAACCACAATACAACAACTACTTGCCAACAACGTACACGTTTCGTATAAATTAAGTAAGATTAAGTGCGCGCATTGAAACAAGTG